CGGGCGTCGTCGGCGGCGTCGGCGGGCCCGGCCGTGGCGACGGCGAGAGCACGGCGACGACGAGGACGACGGCGTCGAAGAGGACGACGGCGGCGACAGGGGCCGTGGCGACGGCGGTGACGCCGACGAAGGGGAAAATGGAAGGAGAGGGGATGGGGGGCGGCGACGGTGGAGGAGTGAGGGGGGAGGAGTGAAGAGGGAGGGGGAATGAGGGGGAAAAGGAGCGTGGCAGGGATGAGGGGCATAGGGGAGGAGGGGCGAGAAGGTCAAGGACTTGAGGGCGGAGGATCAGAAACATGGACAAGCACAGTGCAAGGACGATCAGGAACGAAGATCAGGAGGAGGATTTGCCAGGCTGCTTCGTCGAGCCATTTCGGGTTTTTTTGTTTCACAGGTCGTCCTACCATGATCCAAGGACAACGAAGGGTAACGTTAGGGGGTGCCCGCGAAGAAGATTGAAACTTCGCGAGACTGGCTGATACGAAAAGTGAACGAAGAGGATGGGGATCTCCGCCTCCTCCCCCTCCTCCTCCTCCTCCTCCTTCTCCTCCTCCTCCTCCTCCTCCTCCTCCTCCTCCTCCTCCTCCTGATTTACCCGATTTACCCACTGGTCGGCCGCAGGTCACTCCCTGCGGACGACGTTTGGACGGGCGCAGCCACGGCTGCACCTGGACCTCAGAGGAGGTCGATGAAGAGCGCGAAGACCCAGCACCTGACCATACCCGTCCCCATGAGGGGCCAGACGGGCTTCCAGAAGATGAGTAATCTGCCGCCTCGGTACCTGATAGAGCCCACCAGAGCATCCAGCACCAAAAAAGAATCTGCAGACTTGATCAGACACCAACATCCACAAACTGAGCAGCCAGGAATTTCACAACATTGGCGAAGACCTGCAGCAGAAAAACCACGCCCGAGTGACGTGTCAATCACCACCGCCCAACCTCATTTGAGCGTCCACGCTGGCGAGAAACTCAATCGACCGCGCCTTGGCAAATCGAATGATAGTCTTTAGCTGATTATTACGAACATCCGTGTCTTTGGCCGCGCCAGGGCATACTGCTTTGAGCTTAAGCACCTTACGCGTCACGTCAGTGGACGAGCCAGCACAACGCACACATATGCAAGCCAACCCATCCCACTGCATAGCATGGCCTTGCTGCATGAAGAACGCGTGCGGGGCCTTCTGGGCGCATCAGAAGAGTCGACAGCAACATGCTCAGGTTCTACAACCCCTGCATCCGCATCCGCTGCCTGCACCGCTTCTTGCACAGCTTCACTCCGTACAGGCGAGTAGGTAAGTCCTTTCACTGTACCGAAAATGAGGTCCATCTGCATCTTCTGAAGAGCTGTAGGTTGGAACCTCTTACGCGTTCCCCAAGAAAGATTATTGAGATGCGTAGTCGTTGCCGCCCGAACTCCACAATGCCTGCAACGCCACTCGCCAATATCATCACACCTCCAGAACTCGTGCTCCAAGACCGTGATGCGTGGCTGAGAATTGGGCGGACGACGCCGAATATCATGAGTGTCCCAGAGCTGCTGCTGAAACAATCTGCATAACGTGAAACCCAAGTATCTGGACATGAGCTTAGCTTGAGCCAACGCCAACTTGAACAAATCACAATAGCCTTCCGCATAGCCAATATCTTTCGCCCCCAGCTTAGCAAAATGATCAGCCCATGCGTTGCCTAAAACCCAATCGAAATTAGCTTCGCACTTGGCCAAGCCTGCTGCGACATCATCCAAGTCAAGGTGAGAGGGACACCATCAAAAAGCAGGCAGAACGGCACCTTTTTTGTCAGCGAAAGAACGTATCGCTCGCCAAATACCAGCATGCGTAGCGCCCGCCAGAGTGTCATAAATATCCCATCGATTACCTTCAGCCACCAGCGCCGACAGGTCGGTGACGAGAAGCTGCGCTCCAGGAAAAAATCGAAGAGCCTGTAAAACACAATGCCTTTCTGCAGCACCTATCGTATGCTGGACACCTGGAAGACCCCCGTATACTGCTCGAACTGGGTAGCCTTCAGGAGACATCTGGACACAAGCCCACCCACAGCGTCGCAATTCAAGGATACTGGACGGGATAGCCGACCCGTCAGTGAACACGGTGCGAGGCCAATCGCCATAAGACCCTGCCCAACATCCCCAAAACCGTACAGGCGGATCAAGGTCAGCATAGCCCCAATCTCCAGGAATTTGATAGAGCCCAACACTAAGTTCAAAACATTCATCAGTAACAACAGGGCGGTTGATAGTGCCATTCTGAATGATGGAGTCCCGAAATTGTGATAACTCTTCGGGCATCGGGTGTTCTTCTTCCTCTTCCAGAAGCCACTTGTTCACCGCGTCGCATTTGACACAGACATGTCCCATAGTTGCATCATCACCTTGGCAAGCTCGACAAAGCGAATCACAAACTTTATTACGGACTGCTAACCGCACTTTAGTCCAGGGCGAGCCAGACCACAAAGAACGCAAAGCCCCCGCCACCTTCGGG